CAGCAGGAAGCTCTCCCACTCCCTTCTGGCCTCTGAAACAAAGGCTTTCAAAATACCAAACAGGTATAGCTGTCACTAATAACAGGCCATTAATTGTCTGACCGGAAGAAGAATCCTCTTCACGGCTGAGGAGAAAAAAATGACCTTGGAGCAGGTCACTGTCCATGCAGAGCACTTGCAGCAGAAGCCTCGTTACAAAACTGACCCTGAGTTCCCTTGCAAATGAAGCAACACCTTGGGAGGTGGCCCACACCTGAAGCCCTTGGGCATGGCTTCAACAGATTTGGTGCAGTGGGGAAGCCACAGAGCAGAGGGATTACCTCCTCCAGTGAGATCTGGTGCACATCACAGGACACAGTCGCACCCAGTGACTCCCATAGCATGCACAAATTTATTATGTTTGGGTCTGATTTCCAGATCTGCCCTGCAAAGCAGGAAAACTGACTGCATGCCTTCTGAAGCAGAAATCTGTAAATGAGCTTCCTTTGTAAGAATCAAATTCTGTCATTCTTATTCACTACCATCTGATCCTGGAAACAGGTCTTTGACAAGCAAGGAAAGACTGGGAGTTTTTTAAATTATTTCGATCTCTCTTAGTTAAGAGTCCTTTGGTAATCAAATCCTCAAGTCCTCAATTATTGAGATGTTTATGTTGATACAAAGCAAGACTGTTTAACCATCATACCTAAAACTAAACTGAAGTTTCCATATTTCTTCTACAGTTCCTCCTCGGGTACTCATTTTGCAAGTATTTTACTTTGAAGGACAGATTGAGATTGTGTAATGAAAAAGCTAAAAGATACAAGGAATTCTTCTCCTTTAATGTCAGATGTCTGCAACAGACCCCCCACATCCAAGGTAATTGCCTCAAACTTTCATTCTTAGCAGAGAGAGGCAGAGGATGGCACTTTTATAGTAAGATGCTTCTCATAAAAATGCAGACACTGAAAATAGGTGAGATTAATAATGTTCTAGTGGATCTTATTTTGAATATAAAGGGAATTTAGCCTGCTACTTTGCAAGACAGCTTAAAATTGGACTGTTGAAGTGTATCCCCAATAATGGTTAGAGAAAGAATGTGAAGAAAATATTTAACAGTCACTGTGATTTTCAGCCCTCAATCATATTTGTGATTGCTTTCATCTGATACTTGTGTCTTGGAAATGCTAACCTGGGTCCTCATTTTCTCCATAACAAGAATAATCCATTCCCAGCTCTGGTGCTGCTGTCAGAACAGCCATCACCAAACTACACCTGTCACTACAGTTGACTGAATTCCTGTGTTTTTCCAGTTGCATGGTTTACATTTTTTACCTCCTGACTTGGTGCATTGGATCTGAATGGCACAAGGAGGGATCTCTGGAGTGTAATACAACAGTCAGATCAAAACACATGATGAAATTTCATTAATCTCTATCAATCTATTAATTTGAAATCTCAGATTTTGAACTTCCGTGAAATATGAGGTGTCTGAAAGCTGTCCATGTGATGGAAGTTCTGTTTCAGTCTCCAGCACTCAAGAAACGTAAATGTTGAAGATATTACTACTTCAACAAGTGTTGATATCTCTACCCTTAGGTTACAGATTAAGTAAAATGCCACGCCAAGGTTATGGAGTGAATTGGTATGAAAGCAACTGCTGAAACTTCATTTTCTCAACCTCCTGTCCCTCCTAATGGAGGTGACTTTCTTCTTCTGTCTGTATCCACATGCGTGGAAATCACATCTCCGCAGGTATTATGAATGGGAAAGGTTCAGTATCTGGACAGACTGCACATTTAGCTAACTTCCAAAATATTTTCACACCCACAAGTAAGAGAGCAGGCTCTGAGTCACAGACGGACAGAGAAAATACAGTGCAGAGTTGTTCTCTGTTACTTAGCAAAACTCAGAATGGAGAGCCTTTTAATTAAACATTGTACATCCGTGAGATTTCACAGCTTGTCTGGTCTGATCAGGGACAGCAGAAATAGCAATGGGGTACTCAGACACCAAGCCTGAGCTCATCTCAGTGAGATCTACAGGAACATTCAAATCCCAGATTCTGCCAATGCCCTCTGCACCACCAACACTGCTTGTGCTCTATTTTTCTGCTTGCCAAGATCCCTAGATAATGGCCAATGAAGAAGGACTATAAGCTTGAACAGGACTGGGTAATGGACTGTGTTTACATTGCTTATCTTAGGTAGTGCAGGAAATATGAAAGGTTTTTTATTGCTATTCATTGCTAGCAAAGTCCAGCCTTGGAGTAGCTCTATTAGGCTCAATGGACTTCCACAGTGTCTTTGTCTCTGTAAGCTGAGCTGCACATTCATCAAATCCTTTGTCAAGTTTGCTAGTAATTCTCGCTTTGACTAATTGCTTCAGGTTTTTGAAAGGATTATGATTAAATCTTTCCAAGTAATTTCTATTTTTTTCCTAATTTTAAGCTGCTACATTATTATGTAGATTTACTCATCCTCTTTATAGACACCAGTGTTCTTTCTGTTTTGTTTTTTTTTTCCCCCTTGTCTTGTTTTTTCCACGGTGCATCTGCAGAATTCAGGTGCTCC